CGGGCCGGGGTGGACGCCCGGCGCGCGAGGCCTCGGGCGGCCGGGGTTGAACGTGGGGCGGTCGTGGCGCTTGGGAGCCCTGGCTGGGTGCAGAACCGGCCATCGCAGCTACGCCCACGGCCCGCGAGGCCCGCAGATGCCGGCTTCTCTCAGGGCCTCTCGTCGGGGGAGCAGTTTGCGACCCTCAGGCCCCGTGCCAGGCAGGCAGCGCCGAGGGGGCGGGCTGGGGAGGACACGCGCGACACCTGGGGAGGTGTTTGGCGCCGCCGCCGAGCCGCCTCCTCGGCAGCAGGTTCTGAGCCTCCGCCCCCGCCCCCGCCCCCGGGGACACACCCATCCAGAGACTGTCAACCGCGGTGGCCTCTGCAGGAGGGAGTCCGATGAGCCCCTTGAGAGGAGGGAGGGGACAGACACCTTGTCCTGGCGCCCCCGCAGCCTGCTTTGTGACCTTGGGGAGGGGGTGTCTGAGTCTACTCTCTGCAAATGGAGACTCAGGCTGGGTTGCTATGCTAAGTTGTCTGTTCTCAGTAGGCGCTTAGGGGAACTCACCTCTGGGCTTGATGGCCTATGGGGAGGCCACACAGGCAGGAGGGGGGCTGGCCTTTGGTTGGAGGCCATAGGAAGGGGAGGTGTAGATGCATCAGGCCACCAGCTCTGCCTGGGTGGGGTGATGTCGGCCCGTGGTTCTGTTTAACAAGTATTGGCAGGTCTGGGGAGCTGGTTGGCCTGGTGAAGGGGCTGTCTTGGATCTCAGATGGCCCCCATGGATACCCCCGCAACAGGAGCCAGCCCAGGTTGAGTGGGGGCTACTGAGACCCACAAACAGTGAGGATTGTGGTGGCCAGGAAAGGGGATCTTTCCAGTGGACAAGAAGACTGAAGGGTCTCTGAGGTCCATGGGGCCACCCAGAGAGAACGAGGACTAGATACAAGTGTACATACCTATCTCCTGCATGTCCACATGGGTTTCCCTGGAGTTTGGACCTTTGTGGAGTTTCTGACAGTTTTCAGGTTTTTGAGACAGGGTCTTGCTATATAATTTAGGCTAGCATCAAACTGGTGGTGGTGATCCTCCTGTCCCAGCCATCCGAGTGCTGGGATTTCTAACAGTTTTCAAGCTTTGCCATTTCTTTCTGTCCTTGCTCACTCCCTTCTTATGAATGACACCTTGTCATCCCCAATTCTAAATATCTGCTCCACCGTGTCCTAGGGTGCAGGGCCCCAGTGGAAATGAGGGTCTGGGTGACCCATGGATTGATGAGGCTGCTTACCTGACCCCCTGTGGCTTCTGATTTGGAACTGGAGCTCAAGGGGAAATGAACAGAGTAAGTTTCCAAGGGGTTGACAGATTGGAGAGGGAGGGTCTGTGTGGGTCTAAGAGAGGCAGGGAGATCCCAGGACCTGGGGTACAGGTATATGAACTAACTGACTCTGAAGCTCATTTTTCTGAGCATTGGTTCTGAACCTGGAGTTGGGCACATGTGTGTCTGGCTGTGCTTAGCCCTAGGCCTTTCTGCTGTGAGACCTTTGGCTTCTGCAAGGTCTCCTATGTAGTCACCAGTGGATGACCTCTTGGGAGAAGTGACTTTACCAGGGTCCTCTTTGGAGGCAGAGACAGCACTGTTTTTGAGGTGGGGTCTAGTTCGAAGGGCCCTCTGAGCTGAGTTTATGTCTGTCATACTAACTATAGCCTTTAGGGTCCCTTCTTCAGTAAGTACTGGAGTACTGTACTTATGTGTGTCTGTAATGGTGGGATTTAGAAAGGAGTAAAGGGAGCTCCTGCACTCCCTCAATTGACTGGTCTCAGGTACAGAAGGTGTAGATGTTGCCCGGGAAGAGAACCAGGAACTGTGTGTAACAAGGGCCCAGGGCGGCTGCCTCTGGAAGATCATTGAAGGGGAAAGAGTTCCAGGGAGGAAGAATGGCACATGCAAAGGTCCTGAGGTGGTGAGCATTGGCCCCTTATTCCAGAGCCATGAGCTTTCTTTTGTTGGGTCCTCATCTATAACAACCTGGCCTTGGGGCCATGGGACAGTGGCTGCTCCAGGGGGTGGGCAAGGCAGGAGGTTCTGCTGGTGTCTGGGCTCAGCTTAAATTTGCAGCCTGAGGCCTGAGTGAGAAAACCTTTCTGGGTCTGAAGTGGGTGGCAGTTGGGAAACCCCTGCTAAGTATTCTCAGTGCCCTGAGTGTTGGGCATGGCTGCATCCTTGGGCAACACAAGACATGTGTATTTCTATACTTCAGATATGGTAGAGGCAAGGAGGTAGACTTCTAGGAGAGGCCAGAGGCTTGGTGGCCCTCCTGGGCTGAGTTCTGTGGCTTGGGTCTTTGATACAGTTATTTGCATGTAACATGAGGGAGTTGTTGAGTGAGGGGCAGGATGGTCAGGACCAAGGTGGCTTCTTGCAGGCAGGTGTCCCAGCCCCGGACTTGGCATGCCTGCATAAGGGCTTGGCATTGCCTGGTTGTCAGTGTGGGTTTTAATGCAGCTGCTCAGAACATTTTGGAAAAAATACATGCTGCTGGGTAGAAAGGGATGGGTGGGAGTAAGAACCAGTCACTGAGCAGTGCTCCCAGATGTGTCCATAGGAATACAGGGCCCAGTCTGACTTCTCACGACCCTGGGCATCTCTGTGCGGAAGGCCCCAGTCTGGATTTAAACATTCTGAGGCATACACTGCCCTCTGGTAGAGTTGGATGAGCTGTGGGGAGCCTAATGTCCAGTGTTACCCTGTGACCTGACAGTCCAGGGTCCCTTAGGACTTGTAGCCCCAACCCCAGTGTTTGGCAGTGGATTGGAGTCACTTTGGAAATGGCCCTATTCAGATCTGAGACACTGATGGGGCCAGGTACTAGCTGATGAACCCAACCTTGGGCTCATACCCTAAAAGGAGCTACAGAAACTCCACAAAACACAACAGCCATACTCTTGGGACTCCACAAGAGGCTGATGAAGGATGTGTGACTGACAAGGAGGAATGGTCCCAGGGCCCCCTGCTTCACACCCTGCCCCATAGTGCTGGACTCTGGACTGTGTGGCTTCGTGTCTGGGTCTGCTGTGAGCCTGAGGGCTGGCCATCTATTCCATCAGAGGGAGACTAGGATCGTGGAGCTTCTGGGGTATTGGCATTCTAGCCCTTAAGATTCTCTGATCCCCAGACTTGATGAAATGCCAGAGGGAATTTCATATTACCTGTGGTGGCCTTGCCACAGGCCCATGTCTGTGATCTACAGAGCATTTCCCAGATACCCAGGACAGAGTAGGAAGGGCAGACTTGAGTGTGATGTGTGCTCACGGCCCCTCTCCCATGACTTTCAGGAAGGAGCCCAGCCTGCCGACTTCTCAGTGCTGGTCTCACCTTTCTTTCTCTGAAGAGACCAGTGAAGCCACCTGTCCCCTCCTGCCCATTGAAGGCCCACAGTGTGTCTGTGCTGGGGCCTTACATCTGACAGATCCTGCTGGCCCATGTGTGCAGAGGACTGGGTAAGCTCTGCATTCTCTGTGCTCATAGGCTCCACTCACCCCTTTCAGCAGAGTGCGGACCACCCTGGAGTGTGCTGCTTGGACTCCATGTGTCTCACAGTCCTTCTGGATAAAGCCTGGTGATCAATGCTTAACTCACCCTAGGAAAAGAAAGCAGCTCCTACTACGTGTGTGGTTGCTGGTGAGAAGAGTGGGGGCTGTGTCCCAGGGGCTCATGGGGAGAGGCTGTTCAGGCTGCTGCCAGTGGACTGAATGTGCTTGTTGCACAACAGAAGATGGCAGACAGAGCTCTGGTCCTCCTACTGCCCCAGTGACTTCACCACATCTCCCATCTGTGTTTCAGGCTGAGCAGAAGCTCACTCCCAGGGACGATGGCAGCCCTTCATACCATTCTGGATTCACCAGCCACTCAGCTCGAGAGGGTGGAGGACGGGTCTGAATGTGATCCTGACCAGGAGGAGGAGGAGGAGAAGGGGAGAGACATGGAGGAGGTGGAAGAGGAGGAGGTGGAAGAGGAGGAGGAGGAAGAGGAGATAGTCATAGAAGAGGAGGAGGCAGAGGAAGTGGCGGAGGTCATCGAGGAGGCTGAGGTGCAGGAGGTGGCAGAGGTGGAGGTGGAGGCAGAGTTTGAGGAGGACAATGATGATGATGACGAGGATGACGAGGACAATGATGATGATGACGACGACGATGTAGAGGATGTGCTGGCAGAGGAGCAGAGTTCAGGGTTGGGGACCCAGGAACAACTTAGCCATGTTGATGATGCCAAGTCCCCAGTTTGGGGAAAGGGTAAGAAAAAGGAGCCAGCCCTTGGGGAGGGAAATGAAAGGCGAGGCCAGGGACTTGACTAGACCAGGGAAAGCTCTGGAGCTGGCGTTAGAGTGGCAGAATTCCCCGCCTTTTTTTTTTTTTTTTTTTTTTAAGTACTGGAGATTGAACCCAGTCTATGTACTGAGCTGCTTCCACAGCCTTTTATTTTTTATTTGTGAGAAAAGCTCTTGCTAACTTGCCCAGGCTGAGTTTGAACTTGTGATCCTCCTGCCTCAGCCTCCCACAGTCCCAGGATTGTAAGAGTGTGTTACCACACCCAGCTGCAGCCCAGTTTTTGGAAAGAGGGAACAGCTGGGAGATCCAGCCCTGCCTGTTAGCTGGACCTAAGATGGTTGGGATGACCAGACCAGGTGCTTGTGGGCACCTGTCCCTAAGAGGTCTTCCCCTTAGTCCCACAGATGTGCCGCACTCCATCCGCTGCTCAGGAAGAGGATCTGGAGGAAGAAGAAGAGGAGGATGAAGATGATGATGATGATTTCCTGACAGCTGGGTCTCAGGTGAGCTACCATCTCTTATTTGGTCTTTTTGTTTGTTTTCTTTTGGTACCGGGAATCTAACTCAGGACCTTGTGCTTGCCAAGCTGACACTTGTACCACTGAGCTATACCCCCGCCCCCCATCTCTTATTTGGATCTCAGGTAACCTAGGTTGGGTTTCCCTGGAGGACTCTGGGGGCAGTGGCACTGAGATGCTCAAGCAAAGGCCCAGGCCCTGAACTAGGACAGGGCTACATGTTCCAGGCCCAGTGAGTATGAGCTTCCTTCCCAGGCCATTGAGTTGTTCTGATTTTTTTTGCTGCCACTCACTTACCTGTACCATGCAAGATGACTTCAGAGGGCTGGCTGTCCCATAAAGTCACTGTGCTCCCCTCAGTGCTTCCCAGTCAGATGGGGAACCAGTGCCCACACTCAGTTGGTGTCATTTATCTGCCCCAGAGTGGCCTCTCTGGCTGCTGAGGTGGCCATAGCATTTGCTTGGCCCAGACTGTGAAGTAGGAGGGACCATTGGGCTTGCACTTCATTGTCTCCTGCCCTCTGTATGAGTCTTGCCTCTGCCCCCTAAAAGCTACATTATTCACTTTCTCTGAGCTTGAGTTCGTGATCTCTGGATGAAACCAGGGTCCTGCCTTTAGAGATGGGTAAAAGCATGAAAGTCCTCTGTAGATGTTAATAGTGGGGTGCTGGTCTGTGTTCCATTGGGATCCACATTGTAGGGCCTCATTATGGTTTGACTGCGTTGCGTGGCTGTATATGTACTCAGCCTCTTGCACAGGGCAGCTGAGAGCAGTGTCTGGGGCCCTGTTCTTTCTAGGGGCTGGTGACCTTTGAAGATGTGGCTGTGTACTTCTCCCTGGAAGAATGGGAGAGGCTAGATGCAGACCAGCGGGGCCTCTACCAGGATGTGATGCAGGAGAACTATGGGATCCTGGTGTCCTTGGGTAAGGAAGGGCCTTTTGTCCCTGAGAGATAGCCTTCAGAGCTTAGCTGTCTGAGAGTAGGCCTTTGGAGTCTCAGGGTCAGGCGCTCCCCCCAGGGAAACCCTAAGACTGTCCTGGCCTCTCAGTGGGGCTGGAGAGTGTTTGAACCAGGTGGATTTGTGCTGTGGAGCTGCTGATCCTGCTCCAGGCTTTGTGCTGCCCTTTAGGGCAGGCCGAGGCAGGTGTGGTCCCAGCAGGGGAGGGCTTTGGGAGGATGGCAGGGTGGTGAGGGCTGTGCCTGAGAGAAGGGATACTAGAATCTCCTAGAGCAGAGTGAGGTGGGGAGGATGGGAAGGAGGAGAGGATCTGAGCATGCTGGGGACAGCACAGAGTCCTGTGTGATAGGCACCATCTGTTCCTCTCCTGGGCAGGATACCCAGTCCCCAAGCCAGATTTGATCTTCCGCCTGGAAAATGGGGAAGAGCCTTGGGTCCCAGATAGCCCCCATCCTGAGGATGGAGACATTGTCACTGGGGTCTACACAGGTAAGTGCCAGATCCATGTGCTAACTTCTGCCTCTGCCTCTGCCTCTTGGGTCCTCTTGGGTCCTCTTGGGTCCTCTTGGTTCAACACTAGAGAGGCCTAAGGGCTGGAAAGCCCTTTGAAAACCTTAAAATGATCCCCTGTCCCCACCTTGGAGCTGGTGATTTGTTGGTTTTTTTTTTTTGGCTTTTCTCCGGTACTGGGAATTGAACTCACGACCTTGCACTTGCCAGGCAGGCGCTGTGCCGCTGAGCTAAATCCCCAGCCCCTGGTGATTTGTTTTTGTAAATGAAGATAGTTGTCAAGTTGTTGGCTCAGAGCAGAGACCAGGTACAAGAGCCTAGCAGACTGTTGATGAGGCCTTCTGATTCTGAAACTTTAACCATTCCTCTGGCTTTTCCACCCACTTGACCATTTCTGCAAAACAGTCTTCAGTCTTGTCTGTTCTTCCCAAAAGGCCTCTGACCTGGCTGGGCAGTTGGGGCTTTTTGGAGAAGGGATTTGAGTATGTACATAAGACATTTGGGGTGGCAAATTTCTCTGCAGTTCTTGGAACTAGTTCTGGCTTTCACTTTTCTGAGACCTGCTTTATTCACTTGAAGAATGAATTTGAACTAGTGAGTGCCTTTAAAACCCAGTGCTCTGGGATGCTGCAGCAAGAGGATCACAAGTTCAGACTCACCCTGGGCTACATAGTGACTTAGTGAGACCCTGTCTCAAAATAAAAAAGGCCAAGGGTGTAGCTCAGCATGAAGACCCTGGGTTCAATCCCCAGTACTACCCCCGCAAAAAGGGAAGAATTTGAAGTAATTTGAACTGAACCCATGGTTTCCAACATGACCACATTGGACTCATAGTGAGTTGAGATTCTCAGTGGAGTCTACACGTCATGCTCAGGTTTCAGACTGCAGAGGAAATTCTTAGCCCACAAGTGTCCTGAGCTGGGACTGGAATGACATCAGCCAAGAGGGGGGCTTTTAAAAGAAAACTGTATCTGGGTGTAGTGGTACAGGCCTGTGATACTAGCACCTGACTGAGGCAGGAGAGTCGGGAGTTTGAGGCCAGCCTGTGCAGCAGATGAGATCCCGCCTCAGAAACCCAAAACAAAACAAAAAATATATTCCCGTAACACACCTGCACGTGTACTTTATTTTCATCTGTACTGTAGATTATATGCGGTGCTCTCCAAGGACATTGGTGGGAAGTGTCTATTTACAGACACATTCAGGAAAGCCTCCTGGAAGGCAAGGGGACACAGGCCAGTGCTAGCCAGTCTCTTAGTGTGTGGTCTAGATGTGCCCTACCTCTCCATGCTTTTTGGAGAGCCCTGGGGTAGAGCCTTGTGCAGCCTCAAGCTGGGTGATCCGGGTCTCCTTTTAGTGCAGGTGACATGCACTGTGTCACCTGTCTACAAACCTAGGGCTTGGGCGCTCCCTTGGAGGGCTGGCCCTTTGTTTTCTCCTGTGGCCAGTCATGGTGTTGGGCCCAGGTGGCCCCTGGCCCAGTCCTGTCTGCAGAGCCATCAGTAGGGCAGGACCCCAGCAGATTTTGATGTGCTGTGTACCTGCTTGGAGGGGATGCAGATGTAGTGACAAAGGCTGGGGGCAGCTCAGGCAGGGTGAAAGAGCCTGAGGTTGTCTTTTAACTATAATGACAGCAGTGGCTGAATGGCATCTTCCTGCATCCATTCTGCTCAACTGAGCCGGTTGGGAAAGGAGAGTTGCTGGGTGTGGACAGGATGGATGCCAGCTGTTACAGGATGACATTTTGCATTTGTAGGTAACAGTCCTGCAAGACACAGTGCTGGTTTACTCAACTCTGCTCCTTGATGAGTTGGGCCACACGTGGCATTTGTACTCTGGCCATACTCTCCCACTCAGGTGCCATCTCCTCACAAGTGCTATTCAGAGCCTCTGTTGCCCTTGAGCCGGTGCTCTGGGACCCACTCCCCATTTGCCTCCAGCTCTTCATTCCCCACTCTCCTTCGAGTCACCAGGTGTTAAACCCAGGACCATCAACATGTTAAAAGCCAGAGCTTTACCATTGAGCTATATTCCCAGCTTTTATTTTTAATCTTTAAAAAAAATTGAGGCAGAGTCTTGGTAAGTTGCCCAGGCTGGGCTTGAACTTTTGATCCTCCTGCCTCAGCTTTCCATAGTGCTGGGTATATAAGTGTGTGCCAGTGTGCCAGTCCTGCCTGCCCTTCTTACCTGGTTTAGATTGCAGTGTCCTTGCTTCTTGGGAATGCCCAGAGTGGTCACTGGAGAGACTGCTGCTCCTAGTTGAGCCCCATTTCCTGCACTGGAGCAGAGAACAGTGCTGGAGAAACTGTGCCCCTGCAGGCCTCATGTGGGAGTATGTCTGGGCCCTGTGGGGTGGCCCTATGTTCATGCAGGGCTGGGCTTCTTACTCCTTGAGACACTGGTTTTCCTGCTGCTTCCTGGCTGCTGTATCCTGGCCATGGAATCCATCTGCCTACGCCTGTTTTCTTTCCCCTGGGGAGCCCTGCATCCTCTTCTCATCTCTCTAAATAACCTTAAGTGCCACCTGTTCTCTCTGCTCTCATTTCCCGACTATCCAGCCCTGATCTTGTGTGTTCACCTGGCCTCTTCTTAGTCTTTGATGTGCACCAGGACTTAAAGTGTGTGTGCCGCCTGTCCACCGTGTAGATTCCCACAGAGTGCCACAGTGGTCCCTGTCATTTTGCCTCCTCCCCGATCCTTGGCCCAGGCTGGTTCCTGGCTGGCAGGCATGTGGCTACCAGTGCCCTTAAGCTGCTGGCCGCTTTACCCATCAGAGGCAACTACAAGGGTAGTTTATCCTCAAGCATCTGGAATGGTAACTGAACTTTGCACAAAGCCATGAGGTTCATCACCCTTCCAGGGTCCTCCACACCCCTGCAGACTCTGCTCTACAGATACCCTTTGTCTGCAAAGCCTTGCTGGCTTCTGGGCCTTTGTTCCCTGTCTCCTCTGCTGGGATCTTGAGCACCCTTCACATAGCTGGCTCAGTTCTTAGGTCCCCATTTTGTGGCGTGTTCTTTGACCTCTTTGGCTTTAGTCCTCATTTTCTGGGGTGTTCCTCATGTCTATACTTGGTGGCAGCTTCCACAGTCTGCAGATGCTGTGCTAGAACTGAGCCAGCCCTGCAGGGGCAGTCCAGAGGGCTGCCCAGTGACCCCTGCCCCCTCAGGGCTGCTCCTGCCCTGCTTGAAGAGGAGAAACACAGCACCCAGGACTAACCCAGCTTAAAAATCACACGGGAAAAAACAAAGATGGGGTTTAAAAGGCAGTAAGAAATGGAGGCATACTGAGGTGAGAGAACCTGCAATCAGCATGTAAGTGCAGCTGATGACCCCATTCCCCAGCAGGCCCAGGTGGCACCAGCCTACTGAGGGTTCGGCTCACACAGTGCACAGCTGTGAGTACCTGGGAGACCTCAGAAGACCAAGGCCCCCTTCTGGGGCGTGACTGCCACTGAATCTCCCTGTTTTAGTCCTAGCCAGAGGACCAGGGTTTGGGTCCTGTTTTGCCTTAGACCTTAAGGCTTGGTGCACGTGGAAGGGCACAAAGGTGACGCACCCCATGGTGGGCACCTCCTCCCTTGATGCTTATCCTTCCCTGAGCTGGTTTTGAGTTTCTGTACCTGGATGGAAGCAGTTTGGCTGGTGGAGAGTCAAGAGGGCCAGGGCCAGTGCTGACCTTACTTGGGGAACTCAGGATAGGTTGTTAGGGAGGGAAACCCACAGCTCAGACTCACCTTGGGGCCCAGGCCACCTTGAACCTACAGGGCAGGCTGTGAAGCCAATGTGTTTGGGGCTCATTCAGCAGCTCTGAGCCACCCCCCAGCAGCTGGGCTGGCATCTTTCCATGCTGTGTCCAGGCACGGGCACTTCTAGGTATCTGGGGGCTCTGCTGTCAGGGCCACCAGCTAACAGAGCATGAGGCAGCTGACTTCCTGAGCAGATAAACCAGGGCCTGGATAGAAGCAAAGGAGGCTGTTGTGCTTGTGGTCTTCTGGGTGACATGGAGGACCACCTTACTATCTTCAGGAACCTCTAGGCTACAGGGCCTCTCTTAGGGAGCCCTGACTATACCAAGTGTTGGTGACAGGGCAGCACCATGATGACTAGTCCTCTCTCCCTTCTTGTTCAGGGGCACAGGGCTGGTTAGTGGCCTGTCTAGGGTTAGAAATTGGAGAAAAGGCTGTTAGGGATCTGTGACCACATGAACCTGGTAGTAGGAAAGTGGCACAGCCTGTTATAATAATTGAGACACAACAGAGTGAACAAAAGGAGTACAAAGGATAAGCAGCAGGGGGAAGCCCTGGGAATCTATAGTGAAACAGCACTTGGTTCCTATAGTGATAGGAATACTTTGGTAGCACCATTGTAGGCACTTTCTGCCCACTTATTTATTCGTTGCAGCAGGTGCACAAAGTGAGATTTCAGGTGCTACTATAACCCATTTTACAGATGGGGAAGCTGACAATAAATGACTTATCCAAGGTCCCATGGCCAATAAGCAGTAGAGGTGGAGTTCAGGCCCCAGCAGAGCCTGTGCCCTTGAGCCACCCTGGAGAGTCAGCCAGGAGACAGGTGGTAAAGGGACCCCCTGGCCCTTGTGGAAATGAGCTTGGAGGAGAACCACTGGCATGGAGCGCAGAGGTCTAGTGGGCGATAGTCAAGATCTATGAGAGCTCAGTATTGAAGGGGAGACCTTCAGACCTACACTGCCGAGCAGTACTTACTTTAGCAAACAGCTGTGGCTAGATGTCAGCACTTAAGGCAGGAGAAATCCCTGTGGCCACCTGAAGTGTTTAGTTCGTTCTGTGGTACCAGCTTGGCCAAGGGGGCCTTTGTTTGGACTTTCCCTCCACCAGCTCCTGTTCACTTGCCCCTGTATCATGTGCAGAAGCCTGTTTCCCTAGGGTCTCCGTGTCCTCAGCGTCCTCATGGCTGAGCCTGGGAAGGTTCTCCCTCCCTAGACAGCTGAGTGTGAGCCCCTGATTTGCCTTTTCATTTTATCCATCATTCCCTGTAGTCCCTCTGGATCTTCCCAGAGGCCTTGCTGATCACTGCCAAGATCAGGTCCTTGGAGAAAATGTTAGGCTCAGGGGAGGTGAAATGCCAGGCCCATCCCCAGGATGTGCTCCCTCCCTGTTCTAGATGAATTGGTTGTGTTGGACACTTGGGGTCACTGTCCTCCAGCTGCTGAGACACAGCCCATACCCCTCCTGATCTGAGCACCCTGTTGCTACCAGCTGGGCTCTGATGAGTAGAGCTAATAATTCTTCACCTGGATCCAAAAAAGGCCTTTGGGTCTGAGATTCAGCAGCCTTCCTGGGAGCCCTGGGCCTGGAGTGGCTGTTACACTGGATGTCCCACTCCAGGGTCCAGACCTGAAGACCTTGGGCTACTTTGGCAGCAGAAGACAAGAGGACAGAACCTGACCTTGGGATAAGATGGCCCCCAAGTCTCCCCCGGGTGCCTTCCCAGTGGCCCAATACTCCTGAGTTTCATCTTGGGATGCAGCCAATTCTGACTTCCCCAGGACTCAAGTACTCTCTCCCTCCCTGGGTGTCAGCAGTGGCCTGTGTCCCAGCTGCGTGTTTAGGTATAGCCTCACACTTGTCCCTGTCTTTGGGCAGGTGGCCGTGCCACCTCCAAGGTTGGGAGTGAGGCTTTCAGGAATCTGTCAGGATTGGTCCACTCTGCACAGCCCTTTGGGGCATGGCAGGGACAATCTTCCCATGAGACCTGGCTTTCCTCTGCTCTCAGATATGGGGGAAAGGTGCAGTGGAGGTGTCTGTGCCAGGCCTCCACTGGGCCTGGTGTCCAGCTCTTTGAGGTGATAGATACATCAAATGGTCACTGATGCTTGATTAGGTCCTGAGGGGCACAGACTGATCCTGTCAGAAACCTGCTAGGAAATTCTCCTGCTTGTGAGTTTCCCCTCCTTAGGGGTGCTCGTTAAATAATACTTAGAGTAAGACTCATCAAAGACAGCCTAAGAGCTTTTGATCTGACCCTGAGCCCAGACCACCCACCCCTCCACCAGCTCCTCCCTGCCCTGAGGGGTGCACCAGCCTTCCCCGATCTGGGGAGAATTTTAGCCAAACAAGGCACCCAGGGAGGAGGAACTGGGCCTTTTCTGTGCCCCTAGGGGGGACAGCCACTTTTCCTCATGCAGGTGGCCATAGATGGCAGTTAGTGTTACTCAGCTTAACAACATTTTAAATTTAAAGCTTATGTTTATTATACTAGTATAATATTATAAACTATACAAAACAAAATATGGAAAAATAAAACAGCCATTTTCTTGTCCGTCTGTGTGATAGATGAGTGTTTTTTCATAGCCACAGCCAGGCCTGTGCTGATCTGTGGCTTCACTTGGCACTAGACTATTTTCCCAGGTGACTTTATGTCAACATAGAGAAAGAAGATCTATGAAACAAGGACAGGGAGGCACAGCACTGACATAAGGGGCCAGCCCAGGCTTCTGGGACTCTCCCTTGAGGGTGGGACTCAGTGGTCCAGGCTCACCCAGCCAGGTGACAGCCAAACCAGGCCACAGGTTTGTGCCTAAGTGAGGTGGGAGGAGTTTCCTATCCCTGAAATGGAAGCTCAGGCCTTCTGCTTGCTGGGATCTGTGGACAGAGGAGAGAGCAGGTGTGAAGCTGCTCTGAACACCTGAAGCTCCTGCAGGCTGAGCAGCTCCTGTGTCCCTGAGTGTCTGCTCCACACACCCATGCCGACCTGGGTAGATCATGGTGGCAGGCTGTGAGTATGCTCACCTCATGAGGAGGGGACCTATGAACCTGACTTCAGCACCATACTCCTTGTGGCAGCACACCTAGTCAAGGGTAAAAGGGACATCAGGGTACAGCTCGGTGGAGGGACAAGTAGCTGAAACTTGGGGTAGTCAGTGCACCCACAGTCTCAGCTAGCTTGGGGTTTCCCAAGTGTACAGCAGCTCAGGAAGCCCTAGCAGGGAATTTGGGGTTCTAAAGGGAGAAGGGAGCCAAGAACCTGAGTGCATAGCCACTGGGGCCTGGTAGGCTGAGGACAGGAGGCAGGGGCATCAGCCCTCCCATGCCAGCCTTTTCTGGATCTGCCTGGTGAGGAAGAGGGAGCCTGTGGCCGCTGGCCAAGACCCAAGAGGGGGACGGATGCTGGGCAAAGCTTAGGCCCTCAGGCAGAGGCTGTGGACTGGGATGCCCTGCACCAGCTGCCAGGCAGGAGATGTGCCCTGTTGTTCTGGGCACAGGATCCAAGTTACAGCTTAGCCTTTTGACTCACAGGAGCCTGTTGGCATGTTCACCCACTCTGCAGTCTCATAGGGTGGCAAGACCTGAGGGGCTTAGGGTGAACTCAGGCCTCCTAAGGCCCCAACACCAGCAGGCTCTTAAATCCCTAGGGGAAGTCCCAGGCTTTCCTGCTCCTGGGGGGGCTAGAGCTGATGCGGAGTATGGACAGCTTCTTGCCTCAGTAAGTAGGATGCCTGGCTACGCCTGCCAGGAAGGGCAGTTCTCTGGGCAGTGCCTGCTGCAGGCTGTCACCCACTCACCTGTTTTCTGGCCTTCAGGAGCCTGGTACTGGACCGATGATATGGAGGACCACGAGGAGGAAGATGAGGAGGACTTCCTGGCAGAGATGGCCGAGGAGGAGAACGAACCCCCGGGGTTGTGGTCTGCGGCCTATGGTGTGGGGGACGTGCCAGGGACGTGGGGCCCCGACGACTCCGATTCTGCGCAGACTCCAGAGGGCTGGGGATCTGACTCTGGCAACCTCGGGGTCCTGGCTGAGGAGTCCGAGGCAAAGTCCTTTCTGCCTGACCAGGAGCCAGGCACAAACCTGGTGGCGCCGTGGGCCTACCCCACTCCGGTAGATGCACCGACTGGGCGACCTGAGACCACGTGCGATGTGTGTGGCAAAGTGTTCCCGCACCGGTCGAGGCTGGCCAAGCACCAGCGCTACCACGCGGCTGTCAAGCCCTTCGGCTGCGAAGAGTGCGGCAAGGGTTTCGTGTACCGCTCGCACCTGGCCATCCACCAGCGCACGCACACGGGCGAGAAACCCTTCCCGTGCCCGGACTGCGGCAAGCGCTTCGTTTACAAGTCACACCTGGTCACGCACCGGCGCATCCACACGGGTGAGCGGCCCTACCGTTGCGCCTTCTGCGGTGCCGGCTTCGGGCGCCGCTCCTACCTGGTCACGCACCAGCGCACGCACACAGGCGAGCGGCCCTACCCGTGTGCGCACTGCGGCCGCAGCTTCAGCCAGAGCTCTGCTCTCGCGCGGCACCAGGCCGTGCACACGGCCGACCGGCCGCACTGCTGCCCGGACTGCGGCCAGGCCTTCCGCCTGCGCGCCGATTTCCAGCGCCACCGGCGCAGCGGGAGCTGCGCGGACCCCGGCGGCGACGGCCCGCGGCGGGAGTCTTGCGAAGCAGCGCTTGTAGCGGGGCCGGAGGAGCCGGAGACCGCACCCGAGGGACCTGAAGAGCCGGAGGCTGGCGAGACGGACGGAGACCCCGAGGCCGAGGTGAGGGAGGAGGCAGCGGCTGCAGAGGTGCCCGCCCCCGAGAGCAAGAAGGACCCTGAACTGAGCAGACGGTTCCTGGAGATGGGCAACGGCTTGGACGAGGGCGAAGGCCCCTCTTCGCACACTCTCGGCTTCCACTTTCCTGTGCACCCCAAGTCCTGGCTGCACCCGGACGGCTTCCAGATCTTGGGCCTTCCTGACTTCGGGGAGCGTCTGCCGGCCGACGGGCGCGCCCTGCCCGGACCGCTGGGGGCCCCGCTCGCGCTGGCAGAGGGCGCGGGACTGGCTCGCG